CTGAATATGACCCAACAGTGTGACGTGGCTACAAAAAAGGCAAATGCTATTTTAGGCTGCATTAACAGAAGGACAGTTTCCAAATCCCATGATGTGCTAGTTCCCCTCTATTCAGCACTGGTTAGGCCTCACCTTGAGTATTGTGTCCATTTCTGGACACCACACTTCAATAGGGATGTTAACAAATTGGAACAAGTTCAGAGGAGGGTGACAAGGATGATCAGGGGGCTGGAAACCAAGCCTTAGGAGGAAAGGCTGAAAGAATTGGGCATGTTTAGCTTTGAGAAGACAGAGGGATAATATGATAACACTTTTCAAATACTTGAAAGGCTGTCATACAGAGGAGAGGCAGGGTCTCTTCTCAATCCTCCCAGAGTGCAGGACACACAACAATGGGCTCAAGTTACAGGAAGCCAGATCTTGATTGCATGTCAGGAAAAACCTCCTAACTGTTAGAGCGGTACAACAGTGGAACCAAGTACCTCGAGAGGAGGTGAGTGCTCCAACACTTGGAGGCGTTCAAGAGAAATTTAGACAACCATCTGGCAAATATATTTTGATTTGTATATGTGCATAGAGCAGGGGGTTGGACTTGATGGCCTTGAGCCCCTTCTAACTTCACTGTTCTATGATATCAGGATTCTAAAGGCACATACTTACCATGAATGCTATCAATATTGTCCATTACCCAGCCAATATGAAACACTTTCAAGTTACACTGATTTAGTTGAGGAATTTAGCAGATCACCTCAAAAATAATTAAGACAGCCCTACAAAGTGGACTGTGGGGACTTAGTTTTTTTTTAAAAAAGACTTAGTTTTTTAAGAAAGAAGTTGTTTAAGGCCATCTGACAAGTTTGTGGCATGGTGAGGTTTTAACTCAGAGTGGTATAGATTTACCAGATGAGCGGGATATAAATCAAATAAATAAATAAATAAATAAATAAACTCCTAACCTGGAAAGAAAGGTGAGTTGAAGATAAGGTGTGTTCCTATCTTAGTGACAATTCAGAAAGAAGATACCAGTATTATGGCTATAAAATCTTGCAAAATGATGGTTAGAGCATTTTGGAGGTCAGTTTAAAGTGCAGGTTTTGATACTTGAAGCTCTGTAGTGTCCAGAACCAAGTCCTTCAGAGGCCTGTCTTCACCTACTCTAGCTTGTTTGAGTCCGACTCACAGGCTGGCTGCAAAGGGAACAAGGTAAGGCTATACACCCGGGAAAGGAAGGCCTTTCTAGCAGTGGCTTTCTCTTTGTGAAATACTTGGCTCTTGGAAGCAGGCAGCCTTTATGTCTACAGGCTTTAAAAAGAGCCATTTAAAACCCTTTTATTTCCACTGCATTTTCATAAACATGTTTCCCTGGCCTGAGAATGGCTTAGGCTGTAAGCATTTACAGTGGACCCTCGACTTACAGACGGCTCGACTTACAGACTTTTCGAGTTACAAACTTCTCTGGCTGCAAAATTTAGATTCGACTTGCAGCCAGAGAATCGACTTAAGCCCCTTCTAACTTAACTGTTCTATGATATTATGATTCTAAGGCACATACAGATACTTACCATGAATGCTATTAATATTGTCCATTACCCAGCCAAAATGAAGCACTTTCAAGTTATGTTGATTTAGTTGAGGAATTCAGCAGATCACCTCAGAAATAATTAAGACAGGCCTACAAGGTGGACCATGGGGACTTAGTTTTTTAAAAAAAGACTTAGTTTTTTTTTAAAATGAAGTTGTTTAAGGCCATCTGACAAGTTTGTGGCATGGTGAGGTTTCAACTCCTAACCTGGAAAGAAAGGTGAGTTGAAGTGCAGGTTTTGATGCAGCTCTGTAGTGTCAGGAACCAAGTCCTTCAGAGGCCTGTCTTCACCTCCTCTAGCTTGTTTGAGTCCGACTCACAGGCTGGCTGCAAAGGGAACAAGGTAAGGCTATACGCCAGGGAAAGGAAGGCCTTTCTAGCTGTGGCTTTCTCTTTGTGAAATACTTGGCTCTTGGAAGCAGGCAGCCTTTATCTCTACAGGCTTTAAAAAGAGCCATTTAAAACCCTTTTATTTCCACTGCATTTTCATAAACATGTTTCCCTGGCCTGAGAATGGCTTAGGCTGTAAGCATTTATTAGGTGTTAGTATTATTCTTGTCTGGATAGCTTTATTTTCTGCAATGGTTACTGCCATTTTGATTACTTAAAGCCACATTGGGGTGACTGATTAATTCTTGCACATTATGGACAGGAGCCAGATTTAGCTGTGCTTGGTGTGTGTTTATTCTGGGCTGTCAAGTCGGGACCAACTTATGGTGACTCTAATAGAGCTTTCAAGGTAAGTGAGATATTTAAAGAGTGGTTTTACCAGTTCTACTCTCCCAGTCAGTTTTGAAGGCTGAGCAAAGATTTGAAACCTGTTCTCCAGAGTCCTAGTCCACCACTCTACCCACTACACTGTACTGGGAAAGCTTAGAGTAGACAGCTTGAAATTAATGGGTCTTACGTTTGCAATGTCAAAAGGTCTCTGTGTAGATACATAATTTATTTCAGAGGCAGGAATCAAAACAGCTCAAATAATCATGAATAAAAACTTACAGAAGATTAATTAAAATATGGAAAATTAGAAAAAATTGTAAACAGTCAATAGGAGAAAGAAACAATACACAGATAAAATGAAATCTGGATGCAACCCAGTGAGTAATCCGATCCAGTGTTTGTTTACTCAGGCATATATCTCACTGTATTTATTTTGTCTTGCTCTCAAGTGAATGTGCACTTGAGAGCACTTTGGGCACCACATAAAAAACTTGAACAATAAAAATTTGATACCAGGCAGTGATATTCCCGTTTTTACTCTTTAGAGAGACTTCCATGGAATGCAAACTCAAGTTAGTTATTCAAAAAGATCCTTCTGTCTTTCCAGCAGGACAGAAAGAATAACACTTACCGTATTGGCTGTGACTCTTATGTATCACCTAAATACCTTCTCTGACGTCTTTCTCCACTTTTTCTTGGGTGTTTCTCTCTCTTTCTCTCTCTTTCTCTTGTCATTCAGTAGAGAATGTCTATGACAGGAAATCAGGATGCTGGGAATCTGCAGCCGTTTAAGTACAGAGGTTGAGGGAAAAGGGGTAATGATTAAACTTGAATACTTCCAAGAAGCACTAAGAACCCAATTAATTTATCTATGTGGCTGTTTAAAGTCTTTGAATGTTTCCCCTTGTACTCTCCTTGCTTTTTTTAAATTATTCCTTGCAGTTTGTCTGAACATTGAAGCAGAAACTGAGGCGCCAGAAAATTGCAGTTGGTATGATTTTATAAAACATCAAGGCTTTCTGGCTCATTAAAAAAAACTACCTGTCACTGGAATCAAGAACATTTATTTTTTATTTATTTTAAAATATTTTTACCCCAGTTTTTCCGTGAAAAGGACCCAAGGTGACTTACATCCTTGAAAGACAATATTTAAAGCAAGGATCAATGAGTATAAAGAGGCAGCCTACATCATTCTCCGTTCATGTATCAGCTGAAGATAATAGTCCATGTACACAAATACTAAAAAGGAACAAACAAATACCACTCTGAGAGAGGGTAAACAAAATTAGAATTAAAGACCCAGTCAGAGCAATAATGCACAGCAATCCATCTAAAAGTAGATAGAAGTAGCCGGTGGCTGCAACTTTAGCTGAAACTTCACTTTTAGAGGCTTGGCAGCAGTCCTGGAGGGCCAAAACAGGGGTCTCTTTTATTTCACACACTTGTGGCCTCATGATTCTCAGTTCATGCATCGTCGTTGTCGTTTAGTCGTTTAGTCGTGTCCGACTCTTCGTGACCCCATGGACCAGAGCACGCCAGGCCCTCCTATCTTCTACTGCCTCCCGGAGTTGTGTCAAATTCATGTTGGTCGCTTCGGTGACAGTCCAATCATCTCATCCTCTGTCATCCCCTTCTCCTCTTGCCTTCACACTTTCCCAACATCAAGGTCTTTTCCAGGGAGTCTTCTCTTCTCATGAGATAGCCAAAGAATTAGAGCCTCAGCTTCAGGATCTGTCCTTCCAGGGAGCACTCAGGGTTGATTTCCTGTCTCATGTATCAGCTGAAGATAATAGTCCATGTTCCTGATACAGTGGCTTCTCTTGCCCACAAAAACATCCACCACAATAAATCTGTTAAGCCTTAAAGGTGCCCAGAGAGAATTTTGTTTTTACACATACAGAACAAGGAAGAGTTTTGCGACTAAGAGTGACAAAGAGAATGAGCTTTCTTGGAAAAAGTCAATTTCATCAGATACATTAAGTTTTATCATAAGATGACAAAAGTGTGGGAGATGTGAGTTGTATAGTAGAATTGTAAACAATTATTTTAGAGAAATATGAAATGCAAAAAAGACAGCCTGTGTCTGTGCAGAATATACTAATTTAGCCAATTAAGAATATATAATATAATATGCCAGTCGTGTTTTAGCCCTTCACGGTCTGGGAGAGTGGACTTTGATCCATAAAAGCTCACTCTGAAATGAAATTGTTAGTCTTTAAAGCTACAGTACTGTAGGCGGGCGAGCATTTTTGCTATGTTCCGTCCTGTTTTGCCAACGTGCTGAAGCAAACTAACAGGGCTACTATTTTGAATTGTTAAATTTAAATACCTCTTTCTGCTCAGTTGTTCCAGTTACCAGTGATTTTGCTGGTAACACCAGCTTTCCGGCTTTGCCAAACTAATTAACACCTGTCATAATCCTTGCTGTAGCAGCCCAGACCTGCTAATCCTGAAATGTTTGCTTTTCCAAGCTCAGTCTAAAACAATACGTCTGAGATGCCCTGCATCGGAAGCAAATAAACATAGAGTTTTTGTGTCTTATCTTCCAGGGCTTACATAAGGGCAAGCTGAAACCAAGCAAAAGTGGACCCTAGATACTAACTAGGTTGCCACAATAGACAAGATGACTATTTTGTTTCATTTTATTTTAAAATTTAAGCATTTAACACCCTGCTTTGTGAAATTCAAGGGCTCCCCCCAAAGGGTTGACAAAGATCTACAGTGGCTCCCATGTATGCACAGTGCCAGCCATGGGCACATGACCAAATTAAGACAGTTTCTTTTCTCCGCTGAAGCTGTCGTGTCAGCCAGCCAGTGATAGAAAAGAGCAGAGGAGGAGGAAGCAGAGGCAACAGTCGGAAAGAGAGAGGACAAATACACAGAGTGTGCTTGGGTATTGTTGAGAAAGAGAATCAAAGGACCAAGCCAAACACCATGAGCTACAAGACGGTGTGTGTGTGTGTGTTTTGGTGAAGAAGGGACAGAGCTCAGAATAATTACATTTAAAAAGAAATTTCCTGCTCATTAATTCTGGGCAGCCCGCTTGCCCTTATTATTATTATTGCGCCATTTGTAATTCATTGTCTTGCAGGGTATTATTAACTTGTTGGGTTGCCCAGACCAACAGGCCAGAAAGTTACCAGTAAATGCTTTTCGGTACCTTGTAGTTTTATTTAAAAAAAGAGAAATAACAAAATCAAATATTTTCCTTGCTGCTTAGGATTAAGAAGAAAATGGCATCAAAGTTGACAGAATCCTGTCAAAATGCCTCTAAAATGGTTTACAATACCCTTTAAAAGTAACTCTTTAATTAGAATGTAATTTAGGTGTTATTCATTACAACATAAGAGTAACTTTGTAACTATTAGTTATATCTATTAAAATTTGTCATGGTGGTTAAGGTTATCAGTAGCTCCTAGTCACAATGGCTAATTATTACTCCAGGCATAACTAGTTATGCATAACTGCATTACCACTAAATAGTTACTTCTAAGATATCAGAGAGAAGAAAGGTAAATAAAGAAGTCAGATGAAAACAGAATACAAATATATTTTCAGGAATAGTTAGGATAAGAAAAAAAAGTCAAATGTTCCCTATCTCCCTGTGTCTGAGCAGTAGAAATGAGCTGGAATACCCCTTGCCTAGACCTTTGAGAGTCTGGGTGATATTGGATTTCTGCAGCTTAAAGACAGGAATGGGGACTTCTTTTACATTCTAGATGTTTCTTACATGCTGTTCTGCACATGCATAGATTCATTTTCAATCACACTGCATGGAAACCTTCAGGAATGCTGTCCTTCTGCAAGCATATGAAGACCTTTAATATTTGGATGGTTACTGTTTTTAGCTTTTAAATAATTGTATTTTTGTTTAAATGATCAAAGCTGCTTTTGGTCCTTTTTAAAGAGAAAGACGAGATAAAAATATTTTAAATAAATAACGGAATAATGCTAAGCTAAAGCCTCCACAGCATGTTTGGGTTCGGAGGGAATGTGAAAAGAGTCATAGCCACCAGAGATGTGTCTCGTCGTAGTACCCTGCTCACAGAGTGGCCGACCCAATGCTTGTGGGAAAGCTCACAACAGGGCGTGAGGGTAACAGAAATCAATCATTGTGTTCCTCAGAAACCAGTCTCCAGAGGCAACCGCCCCTAGTATTAGCAGTAACCTGTAATCATTGTGACTTAGAGCAATTGATCGCCTTAGTCCTGAGAAATTTGATTAGAAGGAGATGGCACTGTGAACATGTTCAGGAATAGGAATCCACTTACAACTACAGTACTTTGAAGAACATTATCAGGAGGGCTTGAAATTGAATTTGAAGGGGGAGGGAGAATCAAGCATGGAGGTGACGATAGATGAAGCCAAATGTACAATAAGAGGAAACAGTTCTAATGGGGTTCAATGAATATTAGTAATCATATTCATAAAAAGGCACAAAGAAAAACAGGTCACAAATTACACAATCTCCGGTGTCTATACACAAATGACAGGAGTTTGGGAAACAAACAAGAAGAACTGGAAATATTAGTTCAGGACGGTAAATATGACTTGATAGGAATAACGTAGGGGGATGAGTCCCATGACTGGAATACAGCAATTGAAGGATATAATTTGTTCGAAAAGAGGAGAAAGAATAGAAAGGGAGGTGGAGTTGCAGTATATGTGAAAAGGACACATTTCTTCTCAGGAATATAGGAGGAGCAGACTACCTGTCCCATTGAGAGCATCTGGATCAATCTAGTTGAGGCAAAACAACAAAAGGAGCATAGTAGTTGGAGTTTGCTGCTGCCCGCCTGATCAATGAGAGGAGGTGGATGAAATCTTTGAAAAACAAATTGCAAGCACTTCAAAGTGACACGATGTAGTACTGCTGGGAGATTTCAATTATCCTGATATCAGCTGGGAGGCAAATTCTGCCAAGTATGGCTCTTCCAAAAAATTCCTGGCTTGTGTGGCAGATAATTTTCTCCTACTAAAAGTGGAGAAACTAGAGGGCTAGCTATCCTTGACTTGATTCTAACCGAAAGAGATTACTTGGTGGAGGAAGTGGCAATAAGGGTAGTTCTAGGCAAGAGTGACTATATTCTACTAGAATTCTTGATTTCAAAGGAAGCTAAATCAGAGTGTAGCCACACATATATGGTGGGTTTTTAAAAAGCCATTTTTAACAAACCCAGGACAATGACAAGTAAGTTCCCACAGCAGGAGATCCTAGGAAGAAATGGAGTCAAATAAGGGTGGGAGTTTATTTAGAAAGGAAGTTCTAAAGGCCCAACTAAAAACAATTCCAACATGAAAAAGAGGTGGGGGCAGCAAAACAAAGGCCAGTGTGGATTCACAAAAACATCAGACAGGAAAACTAAAAAGGACACGTATAGGAAAGTGGAAAGGAGGCCAGATGACAAAGGAAGAGTACAAATAACTAGCAAGGAAATGCAGGGATGGCATTTGGAAGGCAGAAGCTGAGAAAGAGGTGAGGTTAGCTAGAAATGCTAAAAGCAACAAAAAAGCATTCTCCAGGTATGTACGCTGCAAAAGACAAAGGAAATAAACAGTGGCTCCTCTACTCAAGGGATTATGGAAAAAAGATAGCCGAAGACAAAGAAAAGGCAGAAGCGCTCAATTCCTGTTTTAGCTCAGTCTTTTGCCAAAGGACAGACTATGACCCTGCAGACAAATGTGAAGTGCAAGGGCTGAGGGGACAGGGCTGCAGCTGGAGAATGATAAAAAAGATAGTAAAGGAATATCTTGCTATCTTGAACGCGTTCAAA